CCAGAAGGAGGAGGAGCAACGCTGGAAGTCCTCGATGCTGACCATGTACTGGCCGGGCCCCCACTGAGAGACCCGGACCAGCGTCACAGAAGAGGCAAAGCCACAGGTGTGAGGAGACACGCCATGAAACACGCACTCCCCCGGCCTCACGGGCACTCCTCTTTCCCAGATCATACCTGCCTCCTCTGGTACTGCCATGCCGCTGAGGTTACAGAGAGCCATGAGGCAGACCTCCTCCAGAGCCTCCTTATCAGGGAAACGGAGCAAGATGGCAACAAGGCGTGGCACCGCACCTCGGCGTAGCAGCAATTCTTGCTGCTTAGCTTAGAAGGACAAAAAAATAAAATAAAATAAAATAACAATAATCACAATTCCCATTAATTCAACATAATGGCAAAAGTTTGTTGGTCATGAGGAAACAAAAAACTGCGGATGGATGGATGGATATTCTCCATGTGCAGATTCAACTTTTCCTATAAAAATTTCTGTTTTTTGGCATTCACTTTTACTGGCTGAATTAGGTTAAATTTGCTATAACTAAAACGTAGCATCTGAATTCATGACAAATTATATTTTGACAGCAGCTTGAAATATTGGTAGAAATGGTCTCTTGCGTTCACAAAACACTTACATAAAACTAAAACCACATAATTGTAGGTTATTTTATTATTTCACTTGACTTACAGCTGTCGTAAGACATGCGTGAGATGGCTCTTGCTGCATAAATGAGCAGCTCTTCGTTTGTGCTGGTCAGAACTGACAGCAGGGCTGTAACCAAGCCTGCGTCCCCAAAACCTTTACGAACCACAGCTGAGGAAACAAGAAGCCTCAGTAAATAAGACTTGTGGTAAAAGCTTCAGCGCTGGAGTAACAAAGTTCAGTAATAAATAATGAAAAGTGTCTATATCTGTGTGAGTAACCTACATTCCTTGGCAAGCTCAGCCACCAGTTTTACAGTCAACAAAGTCAGAGGCCCTCTGCTTCTCAGAGACAGAGCCAGGATTGGCAGGATCCCGCTGATCACAACCTGCTCAGCAGCGCCTTTCTCTGGACGGACACACACACACACACACACACACACGCACACACACACACACACACACACACACAAAATGCATTCAGTACCATAACATCCGTGTATATGATTCAACTAATAAACATGGTAGAATGAATTCTGAAAAAGAGAATTAAAAAAAATAATGTTTTTTTTTTATTTTTTAAACAGAACACAAATTGATCTCTGGTTGCTGTATTCTTCTAGTCTTTAAATGACATTGAATTGAATTAAGTCTCTAACTGTGAGATCTACAAGGATATGGTCTCTGCAAAACATGAATACGGCTTAACTTCACCTACAGACCAGGATCTGACCTGAACTGATCCGCTCGAATGCTGTCAGTCTCTATTAGTGACCAGTGTTGTTTTGGTCTGAGTTTTACTCTTTCCATGGCAGCTAGATCTATTTGCCAGGATATTCTGTTTTGCACTTAGAATGAATAATATATTTAAAACTAATTGCATTGGAGGAGTCTGCATTTTGCATTCCCTAAAAAAAAACAAAAAAGACAGAAAAACAAACAAATAAAATAAAACACAATACAATTCCACTTACTATCTACTTGTCTGATGTAATCTCTAAAATTTCAACTTACTTTTCTCCCTAATGTTTGCCAGCACTGTGATCAAATGAGGTTTGAGTTCATCTTCAATCAGCTCCACACCTAGAACTCTGATTGCACCCAGTGCATTGTTCAAATTATCTGCAGAGACAGTGTGTAATACAGAAATTAGGACTCATGCAAATGACCCACAAATAATAACAATAACAAATTAAAAAAAACAAGCCGAGTGGAAGCAATCATTTAAACTATCAAGGTGCTCATTGTGACACACATAGGGCAAAACACCAGAGCTGTCTAAAGTGGTTTAGAAGAACACTTTTAAACACTTGCAAAGGCATCCATAACACTTAAAACTTTCCACATTTTGTAGCATTAAATTCAAAAGCTTTAATATGATTACCAGGACAGGGCCATCCATCTAAACTGACAGGCCTAAAAAGAGAGCGTTAACCAGCAAACAGCCAAAATGCAGCTAAAAAGCAGAGATCCCCAGCTTAGCCTGACAACGATTAGCCAGTCTGACTTTTACAACATTAGATATATATTTTAAGGTTCAAACAGTAACAATTTGTCTTTTTTTTATGTTTGAAAAGCACAAAGAATGAATTATCTAGGATTTGTCTTCCTGTTCATTAAATGCATCGAAACAGAAACTATCACATTTTTCATTCTAACTTAACAAAACTCATGTCCTGAGATTAATGAAGCCAGATGTCGGATTTGGATTTGAAGCATTAATGGGAATGTAACCCATCGATAGAAAATAAAGAGCTTGGAGAGCTTAATTTTAAACCAGAATGTAACCATGAGAAGGCCCATGTTTTCACTGCTTTCCTGCCCCACTTTGCTTCTGCTGATCCTAGGAGGCCAAAAGTTTACACAAGAAAAACTCTACCGGCATCAGCTGCATTTAAAATGGTATTTCTCTTTAAGGAAAAGAAAGTTTGGTTATTTTGCTGTGTGAGTGACATTTTTCATGGTTAAAATTGTGACTCCCACATGCAATGATTTGCAATCTGCTGCTTTAGAACAGTAATTTATTCTCCTGTTTGTAGACCACAATGTGTGTGTGATCTGTTCCAGAAATGCAAAGATTGGGCTAAAAGCTCCTCCATCTCAGAGATGCAGACATGAAAATCTGGCGGTACAAACACTTTACATTTCTATCATTGTTGCTGTACCTGAAAACAACTAATATTGGCAAAAACAGAGAAAAACTGCTTCGTAGTTGCTTCTTCTATTGAGTTCTGTGTGAATTACCCAGGACGACGTGATTTAATAAAACATTAACTTGTCTTAAATCTGAAGATATAATTACATTTGCACAGCTGTGCTCAAAATGTGCAGATGCAATAGAGACACTCCGCTTTCTATTCTATATCAAAACACGAAAACAAAACAATCACAAAAGTGAGGGAAATGACATGTAGTTGTTAAAATGAAGGTATCAATTCTCTTTTATGAACTCAAACATTGACAAAGGAATTGCCTTTCCTGTGAAACAGACAACTAATGGTTTTGAGGTTTGCTCCGCCTTTGTTTTGCATGAAGTTGACCAACTTCTGATGCCTGTGAACCGGTATTCCAGCCCAGGACAATTGGACTACATCCCCGAATTCCTCTGGATTTCCTGTTTTGTTTATCTTGGCATGTCTGATGTTTTCCCATGTGTTTTCTGTTGAGGTCTGGAGATCTTGCTGGATAGGAGCCAACGTGAACCACACTGGTGTTTAGGGGCGTAATGACAAAATGTCATTGATGACTTAAGCGTAAGACAATGGGACCTCTTCAGGTATTTTTATGTATCCAAACTGATCCATGATCTCTGGTATGCAACACATAGTGCTGAAACCAGTATGAGAAACACCCTGAACTAGAACACTTTGAATTTAGTGTTTGGGGGTAGTTGATTATTTACTGAGACTTTGCCTTGCTATTCTTCCAAGCATCAGGGTGATAGTTTTCTGTTTTATTCCACATTTTGTTGATTTCGGTTTCCATTTGCAAAACAAAACCACATTTTAGACAACTACTCAGAACGGATGACCTCACTCATTTAACTCCACACTGCCGTTACTTTAAACACACCCCCATGCTCGCCTAGTAGTCACACATTAAAATGTCCAGCTGTGATCATGTGAGGCACATTATAAAGTCATATTACATAGTGTATTACAGCCAAATACACAAGTCGGAGCTAACATCAAGACTCAACATGCAGCAAAGTGGACGTAATAAAAACATTGCATTCCAACGTGTGTTCCACTCACCGTTTGGTGTGTAGGGTTGCAGCCGGCTGGATATGTGTTTATTCCTGTGAGCCCGAGCTTGTTTATAGGAAAGTGGCACATTAGGGTGCCCCATGTTTCTCCGTCCTGCCGTCTCTGAAGTCCTGGTGACGAAACTTTCTCACACTGACATATTGTGACTGTTCGTCTGAGTTTCCTTCTACCACTATCCCTTGGAGTAATTGCTTGTTGCTTTGAGGACACTCACAAGAACCTAAGCTTAACTTTTATCTCACATGTACACTCCATACTGTCTTCCAGTGTTTTCCAGCCCATATATATATATATATATATATATATTTGTTGCTGTTGTTTGGTGCCTGCTCTGCCTCTTCCCTGCACGCTCCAGCTGGCTCTCTCTGTTCCCTGTCAGGATTAATACAGAGCAAATCCTCACTAAACCTGCGCTCTCATGCAGCCTCTGCGAGTTTGTGCACTGTTAAGGTATTAGCACTTGGCTGACTCTGCCGAGTTTATTCCTACCGCCCCGCAAGCTCACATAATGCCTTTCGGCTTCTAGAACATTTGAGCCAAAACAACACGGACAGACGGGGATCCGGCATGTTTTTCTACACAGGTGGATTATTGGGTGGAACATTTCCAGATTAGTAGTCTTTCAACTGCTCGATAAGTGCTTTGATGTAATATCTCCTTGACCTCGTTCTCGAATTCGTCATCACAAGACGGTTTCTAAAATGTTCTAATTCATATTTAGTAACTTTTTTTTTCATAAGAAGAACCATTCATTATGAGTTTATGGGAAATATTTTTGCAACTCTCAGAATTTTTAAATCTGCAACCTGCAGAGTCGGATTGGTGGATAGAGGGTGAATAGACAGTTGAAGGATGATTGGATGACAGACAAGTTGAATGACAGATGAGCAAATGGAAGGATTGCTAGAGGAAATAGTCAGAGGTATAGATGGATCGATCACAATGGGATAGGAAAAAAAAGGTAAAATATTTTTCTGTATTTATCTATACCTGGAAAATAGTAAAAGTCCAAAGGTTGTTCAAGCATAAGCTTAGATAAAAAAAAACAAACAAACAAAAAAAAAAAACAAGGTAGTTAAGATTAAAAAAAGCATGGTAGCAAATAAAGTTGTTTTTATTCAGAGCTGAAAAATGATATATAGCACCACTGAGAAACTAATAATCTAGACAATAAATAAAGATGTAGAGCAAACATATAAATCATTTTATCTCTGGCAATTTTCAAGCCAGCACACACATTCAGATGAGACATACTAAAATCATAACATAACAGAAACATTTTACTCACTTAAACTCACCAAAGAGAAAATAACTCACATGTGTGACTGCTCTGAAATTGGCTTACTGGCTTTAAATAATATGCTACTACTATGTAAAAACAGTTAAACCAAGACAACCAATCATACAACTACAGTAGGTTTTTCCAAATCCTACCTTGCATGGTTTGAATCTTTGGATTATTTACAGAACTGTGAAAGAGCGATTTCTTCTTCTTCTGTTCACTCTTTGTATACCTGAATAATAATTAAAAAAAAAAGAAATATGTGCTATTACAACCAGCTTTCCCAGAGTTTTGCACAATACCCAGAGGAAGTGACAGGTGAAGAGCAAGAGTCACCAACTCTGTTTTAATTAAGACTAAACAAATTAATTTCTATCCCAAACAAAAGTTCAGTGGTTTAACTGGTCAATCAAAGAAGGTGAAAAAAAAAAAGAAATAAAAGCCCTTGATTGGCTCTGACCAGTGATCAGCTGCTCAGATACAATTCCTTCTTTTTTATTAAATGCCAATTTTTTAATCTCTAAATGCATCAACTAACAGCATGCTAGTAAAAATCAGATAAATGTTAAAGGTCATTTAACATTTAATAAATGTTAATAAATAGGGATAAGAGTCAACTTGTTTAGTTTATTTCAAATTAAAAATGTATATTTAGTTATTTCATAGTCAGTGTTTAGTATGTACAGTTGTTGAATGAAGACAAATTAGGTGAATTTATACTAGTGAAAGTTCTTACCCCCTCCCCAAAAAGAAAAAAAACTAAATCAGCAGCTCCACCCTCACAGGAAGCCGTAACAGCCTGAACAATGCTTCCCTACAAACATTCATACAATCAAAGTCTAAGAGGAAAATCTCATTAATGGTACACAAAGCCAATCAGTGACTGGATCAGCCACTTATTACCGTCTTTAACGAAGCTACTACATACCTAGTTACTAATACACAGCTTTCCACTCATGTCTTATGAGATTAATTGATCATGTAACTTTCTACTAACATTTAAGGCTGCTACACAGATGCATCTGAAGAAGCTCAATGAAAAGTTCGCTTATTTCAGGTGGATTTTAAGTACGCATTTATGTAAATATCACAAACAATAAACTATAAAATGTAGTCTCTGAGAATTAGGTGAACGAAAAATAAAAACGACTTTAAAAACAAAAAGTTGTGTTAAGGCCTACAAAGTCATGGAGAAAAGTATCTCGCTCGACGCTTGCGTGGCAGACACAAAACAAAGCCTTTGAATCCTTGTTTTCCAAGGCAGTGTCCTAATTTTCCAACACAAATAATTTTGGTTTTCAGTAATCATCAAAAATAACAGAAATAAATGTTTGAAATGCACCACTGCGTGTAAAGAGTTTTTACATAAGTGTCTATTTTTGAATGAATATGATGAAATAAATGAACTTTCCAGCAATTAATGACACACCTGTATATCTACGCTTTTTACTCAACCACTGCAAACTAACTAATCCTACTATGTCAAAATCAATCTACTCTCCAGGGATTTTCAGATATTCTACTAATAAGCAGAATAAAGCCATGGAGAAAGTTGAAAAAAATGGGAGTAATGTCTACAAGCCTCGATATGTCATCTGGAAAGAGTTTAAGTGTCATCAGGGTGTGACTGAGCACTTGGTTTTCTTCATTGGAGGTTAAGTGGCTTAGTCTAGCTGGTGTTTTGTCCTAGATCAGCTGAGTGAATTGGCGATTTCAGCAGGTGTCAAACAGTTCCAGCTGCAGTCATACCGCTGGAGACCGTTTCATAACCCACAGAGACCAGGGTGAGGACGTTACTCTGAACATTATCCGGCTTGTTTTGCTCTGCGTGGGACACGACCGCTTCGGAGATCCCAGACTCCGTCCTCATCTTCTTCCTGTTTCTGGCTTGCCCCTTGCTTTTTAAAAGGATCTTCCCCTGCTCCTTCATCCCCCCGCAAAGCTTGTGGGATCTCTCGTTGTCGGACGAGCGCAGTTTGCGCTGGCGCCTGCGAATGCGACGGGACGGCAGACCCGAGTCGACGGGGTCCAACGCCGCCGCGCCAGACAGGATGCGGATCTGCTGATCGATGACCATGACGATCATGTCTAACGCAACGTCCAACATTCCGAGACCGAGGCCATGAGTGACGTTGTCAAACGCGCCACTGTTTACTGGCTCCTTGAAGCACTTTCTCATGTCCTCGAGATGGTTCCTGTGGGAAAGAGGCGAAGCGTTACACTGACACGACTCTCATAGTCACGCTAATTTTGATTGATCGTAATCACATCCATACTTTGTTTCAATAATTTTGGACCAGTGTTGAACTGTGTTCATCTCAGGGATGAGTTGTTTGGCCATGTTACTGTAGTCAATGTAATCATGGGAAAAATCTTTCATATCTTCACACAGAGCTCTGGTGTCACCTGAAAACAAAAACAAACAAAAAAGTCATTTTAACATCCAACTTGTCAAATAAACTTTTTCACGTGTCACATTATAACCACAGACTTCAATCTAAATAACTGGAACTTTATGTAGCGAGTGTCAGGCGTGCATTTGCATTCAGCTTTCCTGGATCGACACGGAATAAAACCGTCTTTAGCTACAGAAACAGTTTCTCGTATTTTTGAAGTATGTCTCCACTAGCTTTTCACATCCAGAGACTGGAGTTTTTGCCCCTAAATCATTGCAAAATTTGCTCAAGCTCACTCAGACCAGACGGAGAGCATCTCTGAACACTTTTATTTTTTTTTTTTTTAGATTTGCTACATATCCTTAGTTTGTATACGCTGCTCTTTATTAAAAGTGCATCCGTCACCTTCAGTGAGTTTGGAGAAGGAGGAGGATACCGCGGTGGTTGTGCTGGGCATGAGGCCAAGGACATTCAGTGACTCCAGAAGTGTTTTCTTGCTGGCTGGGCCTCTGCTGACCCGAGTGTACGCTGCCAGAGACCGCAGGGACATCTTCTCTGGGGCCTGCAGGCGTCTTTTAATTTCATCATACGAAATGAGATATTTTCCTGAGGATGAAGTCAGACAGAATGAGGCAAATCAGAGCAGCGACGTTGGTAATTTGAAAACCGAATTTATGCAAACTGCAATACATAGATCCTGAATAAACTTAGCAAAGAGAAGACAGACCAAAACTTTCACTGGTGGTCACTTACGAGCTTTGGATCCTTTCATGTTGGGATCCAGGAGAGAAGACACTTCTGCAAAGGGCATCTCGGCATTAGACTCAGAGTTTGTGCTTGAGTTTGCCGACACCTCCTGGTGTTGGGGGATCTCTTCCCCTTGGTGCTGGGCTGTAGCCTGCATCTGTGGCTGAACATGAGGCTGAGTGCTGTGCATTTCCAAATGGTTCTGATCTAACTGAGCCTGACCTTGTGCCTGCTGAGGGAGGACTAATGCATTTTCAGATAAACTTTGCATGCCCATGCCACTTTGAGATATGTTGTTGCCCTGCTCTGGGGACACCTGAAAGATGCTCATAACTGGCTTTACAACTGTGAAAACCATGTTTGCTTGGGGATCCAGACCCACCACCCTGGAAGCGGGGTCCATATTTTCACAAAAATCTTTCTTTTCAAGCAGAAGGAGTAAAATAAGAGGGTATAAGTACTAGCTCAGGTTTATCTTGAAGTCCTGGATACATAATCTTACTACTGTTTTAATACTGATAATAGCTAAAGAAAAAAGGGGGAACAGTTCTTTTTGTTTTTATCAAGAAAACACCTCTCGTTTACAATATATATTTTTATTGACACTTGGAACTACTCCTGTCACCACAGCAGAAGATTTATTCTGAAAGAGAAAATAAAACCTGATTAGAAACTGAGTTTTAAAAAAATCTGTACTAAGGAGTGGACTGAACTGATAGTCATTGTGCAAATCTGAAGTAAATGTTTAGAAAAAAATAATGACCGGATAAAGCACTGAGCATATTACATCCTTCTACCAGCTTTGCACATCGAGAAACTTAACATTTTTGCCAATTGTTCTTTGTACAATAGCTCATACTCAGTCTAAAAGGATGAAGTGTCCCTTTTCACAGATATGTACTGTTTTATAACGTAACAGTGTTTTAAACTTATTCACAACAATAATATTTGTAAATGCATTAAACCACATATACAGTGTAGTTTGCTCATCAAAAAACATTGAAACAAGTTTTGATGTGATACATAAGGAAACGTCCATCTCAAAATGGGAAAACCTTACAAATCCACCTAATTTATGACATATTTAACAACTTATTTAAATTAGTTTGTGACAATTTCTCTTTTTTTTTATTAGTACATGTGAAACTACAGAGCTACAGGCGAAGCGTCACGACAAAAATCGCACTTTCAGTGCATGCCGATTACATACTGCTCAAAAAAATAAAGGGAACATTTCACTTTAATTTTGTGTGTGGCTCCAAATCCAGGCCTCCATTGGTTAATAAATTTGATTTCCATTGGTGATTTTTGTGTGATTTTGTTGTCAGCAGATTCAACTTTGTACAGAACAAAGTATTCAATGAGAATATTTCATTCATTCAGATCTAGGATGTGTTATTTGAGTGTTCCCTTTATTTTTTTGAGCAGTGTATTAGAGCTCAACTCCTCAATGAACCGAACAAACAAAAACTAGCGAAAACTCCATGTTTTGGGCTTAAGAATGAAATTCTCTACAAATGTTCATAGATATTTTTTCAACGTGGGTTAAACTTGAAAATAACAAACTAATAAAATCCATAGAATCGTATAATTTCGCGTTTAAAGGTAGCTTAATTGTTTTATATGACTATTTAACGTTTAAGTAAACCATAATTTAATGATTTAGCCATGCTGACTATGCAGCAACGCTCTAAACTTTTAAGCTAACCACTCTGCAAATGTTAATAAAACCGCCGCATTCAATGTTCCAAACAGCCATCATGGCTGCCAGCCGCTACTGTTGCTGTTTTCCTATGTTTCGGTCGCTGTCAAACGTCAAAGGAAAATGACCAACATCGGCAGAGAAAACTACGGTCCGTGTTGACTTCCAGATACGCATGCATCCTAATTTAAGTTGTGACTGATGACGATGTCGCTACTCACCGAACTGGCGTCTGTTTTTTCCCCCTAAGAGGCCACTGATCCTAGAACGGTCCGGGTTGAAGTCAGCGACATTTTCTCTTCTTCTCCACTGTTGCTTCAGCGGGTTGCAAATCAGCCATACGTGCACTATCATTCGAGACGGGAGTCTAAGCTCTGATTGGTCAACTGACCGATCGATCAAGCTGTAAGCGTTTTTTATTGGACTAGAAAAACGTTGGCAGATGCGACCAGGCGGTAATTCTAAAATGCACTTTTAGACAAACATTTAATATTTTGGAGTCATTTTGAAAACTAAATCTGCCTTTCTCATTTTTTATAAAACCTATCAGTCTTAAAAAATGGAAATTTGTTATAGGCTAATATTGCTTTCAATTTCATTTCGTGTGTGTATTTCGTTTCTATTGTTAAAGGGATACACATTTCAAACAACATACCAAATGAGGCATCAGACGGAAAATTCTTCAGTTAGAATACATCGGTGTGAATACCTTAAAATTAAACGCTACTCTTCTAATAATGCGACTCCGCCATCTAGTGGACATTTTAGAACATAGCAGTGAGATATACAAATTTACACAATTTCATTCTTATTCTTCTGAAATGTGACCAGGTTCATAGGTCTGCCTATGCTTAACTCAGCTTTGTAATCAGAAGCTTACAAAGCTGTGACATAATCATCTCGTCTTCCCAAATTGTTAAATGGCAAAACTCACATTTCCATCATTCCTACAAAATACCAATTAAGCCAACAGGCAGTGGATCAAAAATACATAATTCAGTCAATTTTATTTAGGTACAAATAAAAAAAATGTACAAAAAAAGAGAAAAAAAAAGAACAGAAAGGAACAAATATGAAAACTGTCAATATTGTAAAAGAAAAAGGCATTTGTTAAACAGTTAATTAAAAGCTGAACCAACTAATCTGGAAAACAAAGCATCTTGTGATGCCAGGGTATGCATTTACACAAACATGATATTAAATAAGGAAATATTTGGTTTAAAAAGGCAGAGACCTCAAGTGTGGGGAAAGGATGTAGAATCCACAAAATACACACATTTAGTTTTTCTCCACAAATATCAGTGCTCCAGTCTGACGAGAACAAAAATTAATGCATACATTTTACCAGTACAGCAGTAGCTCAGTGCAGTAGAACACTGACGTTAGGATGCATGTTAGAGTTTTCGGTAACACTTTATTTGAAAGGGGGTGAATAAGACTGACATGACACTG